ATACACGTAAAGACATAACAGTTTGATTTTTAATTTGCTGAATAAAATCTCTCTCGATGGTTTAATCAAAAAGCTGTCTTCACAGAATTATTCTGTGGATAATGAAGACTAATTTACTAATTGAGATTATTTGTGTAACTATCATGGTTAATTAATTATTTCAATATCAAAAAAGTGAGATTTCCAAAAAGTCTCCATAGGAAATCAATAGGAATTTATAAATAATTTTTTATTTTACTAATATAAAAATGATATTCAATGTTAATATTTATTATAAACTTTAATATTTTCACAAATTTAATCAATTAAAAGAACAGTGATCAACAATGACCAAGTTTTATAAGAGCATTATTATGCTGATATTTTGGAAAATTAATAGTAAAATAATAAATTAAGATCAGTTATTGTAACCAATGACCACGTTTCTTTATTCCATCATGTTCCCATCTATTCCATCTTTAATAAGTTCAAATTCTAATATTTGAATGCTGTTATTTTTTGTAATTATTACTCTCTAAAAGCCATTATACAAAAATACTACATTTTTATATGATTTGAAGCATTGAATCAAAATAAAGTTTAAACATTGACTTTTTTTATACATCATTAGATTAACAATATCAATTTACATAAACTTAATATGGGATACCGTTATTTTTCAAAAATTAAAAGAAAGGCCTTGAAACCCTTGAAATAAATTTAATAACTTGAACAGTTTATAAATGACATAAATTGTACTAAATTTCTAATCTTATAATTTTTGAACTCTGAACTCGAGCATGATGAAAACGTGATCATTTGTTACAATAACTGATCTTAATTTATTATTTTACTATTAATTTTTCAAAATATCAGCATAATAATGCTCTTATAAAACTTGGTCATTGTTGATCACTGTTCTTTTAATTGATTAAATTTGTGAAAATATTAAAGTTTATAATAAATATTAACATTGAATATCATTTTTATATTAGTAAAATAAAAAATTATTTATAAATTCCTATTGATTTCCTATGGAGACTTTTTGGAAATCTCACTTTTTTGATATTGAAATAATTAATTAACNTCTATGGAGACTTTTTGGAAATCTCACTTTTTTGATATTGAAATAATTAATTAACCATGATAGTTACACAAATAATCTCAATTAGTAAATTAGTCTTCATTATCCATAAAATCATTCTGTGAAGACAACTTTTTGATTAAACCATCGAGAGAGATTTTATTCAACAAATTAAAAATCAAACTGTTATGTCTTTACGTGTATGCAACAACCAGGAAACAAATCAGCATTGAAATTATTATGTAACATGCATTAATTAACATGTAACACTTATTTTATTAATGTTCACATTTATAATTAATTATATTTAATTTTTAAAATATAATACTAAACAACTCACACACAGCGATGCTATACGTTAACCACTATTCGGGTGATTCTCAAAGAATAGATTAGCATTATTTACACATTCAATAAGAGTCCATAAGATTAGGATTAGTCTCATTGAGTTAGCATTATCCATGTTATTCCTATGACATAGACTTAGCATTACCATTGTTATCCCTATGCCATAGACTTAGCATTTTCATATAATCCCGATGCCATAGACTTCGCATTGCTTATAGACTTAGCATTACGCATGTTAAAGTATAGCCATTGACTTATTCGATAATCCCATGTTAATTCCCCATAGACTTAAGAATCCCATGTTAAAGTATAGCCATAGACTTAAGCTGTAATTCCATGTTAAACCTTATAGGGTGGAGGGCTGGGGGAGGGGGAGGGGCAGCCGAACGATCCTATAAAATATGATTCATATCAGAATAGTGGTTAAAAATTATATATACTAAAAAATATTAGATGTCAAACAATAAATCCCATTTGTATTTGATATTATAAAATTAATTTAACCTGTTTGATAATAAAAGTTTAATTTTACATATTAATTTATAATGACTTTCTAATAATATTTACAATTTTAATACTTGCTTTTAAAATAACATATTTTTAAAAAGTTGAAATGAATTATTGATTTCCACAAAACAAGAAAAACATGGTTATTGAAAACGCGATCACCTAGAATTTATAATAATGAACATAATTATTATCTAGAATCTAGATAATTTATAAATAAAATTAGTATAACTTAATACAAACTTCAAACCCTTGTTGACTATTTATAATAAATAATTTCCAACAATAAAAGCCGATCTCATTGTTACCAATTCTAGCGATAAACCCCGATAACTATATATCGATACAATTATTATCATTATTATAATTTAGTACTGAATTTATAGCAAAATTAACCTTATTTTTATAGATTAACGGCATTTCAGAATTGACCATGTACAGCGAATTCATTAAGCTGTAAGTGATTTCAGTCTCGTTATACAGTGCGGCCGATATATACATCCGAATAAATACACATATAATTGTATTATTAAAATTAATTGCAAAATGCACTAATAATTGGGTTATGGTAATTACCGTAAAATATGCAATATTCTAAACTGCTGATTATAATCGTATTTCCATTCCATATGACCATGATGTATTTGCACCAACAATTATCATTGTATTCATTAATCTCAACATAAATAGCATTTAATTCGGGAATAATTTTGGAAATTAATGTTAACTTGTTAATTTTATGATAATTGCCCAAACACATTTTGATTACCTTATTTATTGATTTAATTTTAAGCAATAAATAATAAACAATGACATAGAAGTATTGCAATTGATAAACAGTTATATTACAAATATAATACCCACAAAAAGTGTTTAATAATGAAATAGGTATACCAATGATTATAAAATGCTCTAGATCCATTGATTGCCAGCTAATTGCGTGACATACCATACAGACACACACTGTACCATTTATTATTATGAATCTAGATATAATACTTATATTTCCTATGGATTGTATTGTTTTGTGGTTTATATAGAGATAATCCAATTGCATAGAGATTATAGTCGGCACCCGATATACGCACATTAGCCGGTATTGCTTGCGATAAATCATAGTTTATTAAAGATTATAAATTTATGTTTATTATATTTGGAAAACAATTAGGTATGATTAAAAGTTTAATGCACACCCATTTCCAGCAGTGGAACCCTTATATTACAATTATGGATACTAAATTTTTTATAATATTATTTGAAATACAATTAGGTATGATTAAAAGTTTAATGCACACCCATTTCCAGCACTGGAACCCTTATATTACAATTATGGATACTAAATTTTTTATAATATTATTTGGAATACAATTAGGTATGATTAAAAGTTTATTGTACACCTACTGCCAGCACTGAAACCGTTATACTACAATTAAAGATTATAAATTTATGGTTATTATATTTGGAAAACACTTAGGTATGATTAAAAGTTTATTGAACACCTATTGCCAGCACTGGAACCGTTATACTACAATTAAAGATTATAAATTTATGTTTATTATATTTGGAAAACACTTAGGTATGATTAAAAGTTTATTGCACACCTATTGCAAGCACTGGAACCCTTATATTACAATTATGGATACTAAATTTTTTATAATATTATTTAGAATACAATTAGGTATGATTAAAAGTTTATTGAACACCCATTTCCAGCACTGGAACCCTTATATTACAATTATGGATACTAAATTTATTTTTATTATATTTGGAAAACAATTAGGTATGATTAAAAGTTTATTGAACACCTATTGCCAGCACTGGAACCGTTATATTACAATTAAAGATTATAAATTTATGTTTATTATATTTGGAAAACAATTAGGCATGATTAAAAGTTTATTGAACACCTATTGCCAGCACTGGAACCGTTGTATTACAATTAAAGATTATAAATTTATGTTTATTATATTTGGAAAACACTTAGGTATGATTAAAAGTTTATTACACACCCATTGCCAGCACTGGAACGGTTATTTTACAATTAAAGATGATAAATTTATGTTTATTATATTTGGAAAACAATTAGGTATGATTAAAAGTTTAATGCACACCCATTTCCAGCACTGGAACCCTTATATTACAATTATGGATACTAAATTTTTTATAATATTATTTGAAATACAATTAGGTATGATTAAAAGTTTATTGTACACCTATTGCCAGCACTGGATCCCTTATATTACAATTATGGATACTAAATTTTTTATAATAATATTTGGAATACAATTAGGTATGATTAAAAGTTTAATGGACACCCCTTTCTAGCACTGAAATTCTTATATTACAATTATGAATACTAAATTTTTTATAATATTATTTGGAATACAATTAGGTATGATTAAACGTTTATTGAACACCTATTGCCAGCACTGGAACCTTTATATTACAATTAAAGATAATAAATATAAGGTAAATGCTAAGCATGCCGATATGACTCATTATAACATATTATTACAAGAGGGTCACAGATCTGTTACCGACTTCAACGGCTGGAGGTGAAACCCAGTTTGGACACGGCAGACAAGCTTGGCCAAGATCCAGCGAACGGTATCCAGACTTCTCACCTGTTGCAGGCAGTGCCGTCAGCACGTGGGTAATGACTTGGTCGGTACCGGGAGTGGTGGTGGATATGGGAATCGGATTACCATTTACGTCACTATTAGACTGTCTATGACTTACGTCCGTCTTAAGCGTCTCGCTGATGGCTCAGCGATGACATCGAATATGGTGTCGGCATCATATGCGGTGCGTCGCAATTACTGTCGTTAGTAGTCTCGATTTATCGGGAATAAAACATAAATTCTGGTGTATACGCATACTGCATGTAAATCGAACATAATATTGTCGT